GCACGCAGCAGCCCCACTCCTCTCCAGCCAGCCTCGTCTCTGCCGTAATCCCCTGTCACCTGCAGCGGCGGTAGCAGCTGCTGCAGGCAGCACCAACAGCGAAAAAAAAACAACAGCAGCAGCAGCAACAGCGAGAATATCAGTAACAGCTACAGCAGCAGCAACAGCTGCAGCTACAGCAGCAGCAACAGCTGCAGCTGCAGCAGCAGCAGCAGCGCGGCAAAGTGTGGCAGCGATGATGAGATAAACCAGAAGAACAGCAACGGCGAGATTGGGCACAGTAGCAGCAGCAGCAGCAGCTGCTGCTGCTGCTCCTGCTTCAGCCTTAAACCCGCCTCTTCCTCAGTTTCATGCCAGCCCCAAAGCTGCTTCCTTTTTGCAGCAGCGGCAGCAGCTAGACAAGCTGCATGCTGCAGCAGCAGCAGCGCAGGCAGCAGCAGCAGCAGCAGCAGGACCGGCAGCGGCAGCAGCAACGGAAGGAGACACAAAGGTGTGTGAACTGCAACGTTGCTTGCAGTCCATGTTGTTGTCTCCTACCGTGTGAGCAGCCGCATATCCCTGATGCATGGTTCCTGCTGCTGCTGCTGCTGCTGCTGCTGCTGCTGCTGCAGCTGCAGGAAGCACTACAGCGACGTGTGCGCCCCCGCTGGGGCGATGGTGATTTGTCACGGGAAGAAGCATCTTGTGGGGTGTCTGCGTATACACCCCAGCGGAAGCAGCAGCAGCAACAACAAACCCTAAGCGACGAAGCAAAGGCCAGGCAGCGACCGCAGGAGCAGCAGCAGTCCCAGGAGCACATAGGGCAGGCAGCAGCAAATTTATAAACACCGCAACGGCAAGGCAGCGTCTACGGCAGCAGCAGCAGCGCGCGTACTGCAGCAGCAGCATCTCATGCAGCAGCAGCAGCGCCTACTGCAACATCAGCAGCAAGAGCATCTGCAGCAGCAAGAACCAGCAACAGCGTCTACTGCAGCAACTGCCATAACAGCGTCAGCTGCAACAGCAGCAGCAACAACCCACAGCGACACCACAGCGTTTTTTTGCTGCTTCATATTTTATTAGCCCTTGTGGTTTGGCTGTTTATATATATCCGTGAATAAGTAGATGCAGCAGAGAGCAGAGCAGCAGCAGCAGCAGCAGAGCACCCACAAGGACTTTCTTTATAAGAAAGGTACTACCGGCCGAGTAGGGCCTCTTAGAGTTTATAATATCTCTCTCCTCTCTCTGCTGCTGCTGCTGCTGCGGCTTCGGTTGCTGCTGCTGCAGCAACACAACCACCAGCAGCAGCAGCAGCAGCAGCAGCAGCAGCAGCAGCAGCAGCAACAACTGCGCAGTCTTCGAGCTCACAACTCGAAGCACTGGGAGCTTTATTGCAGCTCCTGGGAACGAATGCGGATAGATCGAGCCAAAGCATTTTGGGGTGGATATCTCTGCCGTCTCCTTGTTGTCTCTTTTTCTCTGCTATGGCTCTCTCGCGTCTTTGTCTC